GGAATTCCAGGGAATTCCAGCTTCCATTTGTGGATTATTGACACATTTATGGGTTTATTGATTTGTAGGATTATGGATTTATGGATTCATGGAGTTAGGGATTTATGGATTTCCATTCCTGCTCACTYCACTTATGGATCAAGGGATTGATTCTGGAGGATCCCATCGGGTTCTGGCTGAGGGATCCCCTCCCCTTCTCATCCCAGCAGGAATGATCCCATTGATCCTGCCAGGAATGATCCCAAATATTTCATCCCACTGGGAATGATCCCACTGATCCCTCAGGAAATGATCCCATTGATCCCACTGGGAGTGATCCCATTGATCCCATCGGGAATGCCCGACCCCACAACCCCCGGATCCAGTTATTTGAGGAGCTGGGATCGCTCCACCCCCAAATCCACTTTTAGCGCTTTTTTTTCCTGATTTTGGGATCAGGAGTCTCCTGTGGATGCATCTGCACCCGCTCCAAGGCCAGGAGCCAACCCCAAATCCACTTTTAGGGATTTTTTCCTGACTTTGGGATCAGGAATCTCCTCCGGATGGATCCGTGCCCGCTCCAAGGCCAGGATCCAACCCCAAATCCACTTTTAGGGAATTTTTCCTGATTTTAGGATCAGGAATCCCTGCTCCAAGGCCAGGATCCAACCCCAAATCCACTTTTAGGGATTTTTTCCTGATTTTGGGATCAGGAATCTCCTCCGGATGGATCTGTGCCACTCCAAGGCCAGGATCCAACCCCAAATCCACTTTTAGGGATCTTTTCCTCATTTTGGGATCAGGAATCCCTGCTCCAAGGCCAGGAGCCAACCCCAAATCCACTTTTAGGGATTTTTTCCCTGACTTTGGGATCAGGAAACTCCTCCGGATGGATCCGTGCCGCTCCAAGGCCAGGATCCAACCCCAAATCCACTTTTAGGGAATTTTTCCTGATTTTAAGATCAGGAATCTCCTCCGGATGGATCCGTGCTGCTCCAAGGCCAGGATCCAACCCCAAATTCACTTTTAGGGATCTTTTCCTCATTTTGGGATCAGGAATCCCTGCTCCAAGGCCAGGATCCAACCCCAAATCCACTTTTAGGGATTTTTTCCTGATTTTGGGATCAGGAAACTCCTCTGGATGGATCCGTGCTGCTCCAAGGCCAGGATCCAACCCCAAATCCACTTTTAGGGTTTTTTTCCTGATTTTGGGAACAGGAATCTCCTCCGGATGGATCCGTGCCCGCTCCAAGGCCAGGATCCATCCCCAAATTCACTTTTAGGGATTTTTTTCCTGATTTTGGGATCAGGAATCTCCTCCAGATGGATCCGTGCCCGCTCCAAGGCCAGGATCCAACCCCAAATCCACTTTTAGGGAGTTTTTTCCTGATTTTAGGATCAGGAATCTCCTCCGGATGGATCTGTGCCCGCTCCAAGGCCAGGATCCAACCCCAAATCCACTTTTAGGGAGTTTTTCCTGATTTTGGGATCAGGAATCCCTGCTCCAAGGCCAGGATCCATCCCCAAATCCACTTTTAGGGATTTTTTCCTGATTTTGGGATCAGGAATCTCCTGCAGATGGATCCGTGTCGCTCCGAGGCCAGGATCCAACCCCAAATCCACTTTTAGGGAATTTTTCCTGATTTTGGGATCAGGAATCTCCTGTGGATGGATCCGTGCCGCTCCAAGGCCAGGATCCATCCCCAAATTCACTTTTAGGGGTTTTTTTCCTGATTTTAGGATCAGGAATCTCCTCTGGATGGATCCATGCTGCTCCAAGGCCAGGATCCAACCCCAAATCCACTTTTAGGGATTTTTTCCTGATTTTGGGATCAGGAATCTCCTGTGGATGGATCCGTGCCGCTCCAAGGCCAGGATCCATCCCCAAATTCACTTTTAGGGGTTTTTTTCCTGATTTTAGGATCAGGAATCTCCTCTGGATGGATCCATGCTGCTCCAAGGCCAGGATCCAACCCCAAATCCACTTTTAGGGGTTTTTTTCCTGATTTTAGGATCAGGAATCTCCTCCAGATGGATCCGTGCCGCTCCAAGGCCAGGATCCATCCCCAAATCCACTTTTAGGGTTTTTTTTCCTGATTTTGGGATCAGGAATCTCCTCCGGATGGATCCGTGCCCGCCCCAAGGCCAGGATCCATCCCCAAATCCACTTTTAGGGATTTTTTTCCTGATTTTGGGATCAGGAATCTCCTCCGGATGGATCCGTGCCGCTCCAAGGCCAGGATCCATCCCCAAATTCACTTTTAGGGGTTTTTTTCCTGATTTTAGGATCAGGAATCTCCTCTGGATGGATCCATGCTGCTCCAAGGCCAGGATCCATCCCCAAATCCACTTTTAGGTTTTTTTTTCCTGATTTTGGGATCAGGAATCCCTGCTCCAAGGCCAGGATCCAACCCCAAATTCACTTTTAGGGATCTTTTCCTGATTTGGGATCAGGAATCCCTGCTCCAAGGCCAGGATCCAACCCCAAATTCACTTTTAGGGATCTTTTCCTCATTTTGGGATCAGGAATCCCTGCTCCAAGTCCAGGATCCAACCCCAAATCCCCGGGGGAACACCCCGCAGAGGGGGCAGGAATGACTCTCCAGGTAAAGCACTTTTCCCACCCCAAACCCGTGGATTTTGGGGTTCCAGACCCTTTGGCAGCCAGCTCTGGGGTGACTCGGAGGGCGGCGCCGGGACTTTGGCCGTGCCAGCCCCGCATGCCTGTGCCAGGCGCGGTCGGGCGCGGCCCCGCAGCGGCACCGGSAMCGGGAACGAGCCCGGGGAACGAGCCCCGGCACGCCRAAAGGGCTGAGTCACCCCCAGAGCCCGGAAAAATCCCGGCAAAATCCATTTCCGGGGCCTTTTCCCTCAAYCTCACAGCCCTGCGCTCCCAAACATTCCTGAAAAGCCCCAAAATCCCGCCCCGAAAGCTCCTTTCCTTAAAAACCTGGGGAAGTTCTCTSCAAACCCTGGGAATTTCTGTCCCAAGGGAAGCCTCGCTCTCCCACAGCCCCAAACCCGGGCGTTTTCCCCTCAAAAATGAGGAATTTGGGGGATTCAAAGCCCAGGGACGGATCCCAAAGCAGCGGGGTTTGGGGAGGGGGAGCGGAGCCGCCGCAATCCGGGATCAATCCCGTCTGGACGGACCCCCCCCGGCGCGTTCCGGACAAAAATAACCATCAAAAAATGCCTAAAAAAGGAGATTCCGCACAGGCCTCTGGAATTTCCTTCCCACGGAACCGCTGGAGAAGCGTTTTCCAGGCATTGTGTCAGCAGCAGCGGAGCGGGGCCGGGAGGGGGGACCCCCCTTCCCTCCGAAACTCTGGGAAAACACGGAACCCACCCCGTTTTACCCCCCCAGAACCCAAATTCCAAAATTCTGGCGCTGG